TTGAGCACATTTCCAAGCCAGGGTTACTACAATCTATTTTAGTTCCAAAAAATGCTTGGGAAGTTATAACAATGGACTTTATTGAAGGGTTGCCACCTTCAGCAAAGTATAATTGTATTTTGGTAGTGATTGACAAATTTACTAAGTATGTTCATTTTACGCGTTTGTCACATCCCTACACAGTGGTACAAGTTGCTAAAGTATATTTGGATCAGGTTTATAAGCTTCACGGTCCACCTAAGATGGCTATTTCTGATAGAGACAAGTCTTTTACTAGTCTATTATGGTAAGAGTTACTTAAGCAATTGGAGACAACTACACTTTTCAGTACTGTCTATCATCCTGAGACAGATAACCAAAGTGGACTCAACCAATGTTTAGAACAATATCTCAGATGTATGTGTTTTTTAAAACCAACATATTGGTCAAAGTAGTTAGCTCAAGCAGAGTGGTGGTATAATACTAATTAACACTCTTCTATAAAAATGACCCCATTTGAAGCCTTATATGATTATAAGGCTCCTATGCTGAGATGGTCAGGGGATTCTAGAGTGGATGCAGTACAAAATATGATGCAAGACAGAGAGCACTTCAATGCTTTACTATGTGAACAACTCATTAAAGCCAGTAATAGAATGAAGCAGATTGTGGATAAGAATCGTACAAAAATGGATTTTCAGGTAGGAGAGAAAGTTTACCTGAAACTTCAGCCTTATAGATAAACATCACTTGCTTTACGGAAAAACCTAAAGCTTGCTGCTCGATATTTCGATCCCTACAAAATACAGAAAAAAAATTGGCCAGGTTGCGTATCAACTGGAACTGCCACCAGATTCCAAATTGCATCCAGTGTTTCATATTAGTTTATTGAAGAGGAGAATATGAAAACAGGGACTTATCTCGCTGAATCCTCCAGAAACGTGTTCAGACGGTCTGAAATTTTACCAAGCAACTGTGTTGAACAGACGAGTGATGAAACGACAGAATCAGAACGTTCCTCAACTATTGATCCAGTGGAAAAACATGGGGCCAAATGATGCAACGTGGGAAGATGCTTCATTACTTCAAAAACAATTTCCCGATTTCGATCCTTGGGGACAAGGTTCGTCTGATGGAGGGGGTATTGTCACGATGGAAGGGGAGTTAGGGTTTAAAGGCCTTGATATGGGGAAATCTAGAAGAATAGAATCGGGGAGGCAGCAGCAGAAATTGGGGGAAGAGAGAAGGGAATTAGGGATCGAAGGGGGATTAGGGATTGAAATGTTATCTAATGAATGAAAGAATACTTTTTATGTACATATTTCTTCTATTTCTGAAATCCCTAGAAAATTCTTCTATCCTAAATCATAACACTAAGGTATTTCCTAGGAATGGAGGTGGCAAGGTCAAAAGAAGGACTTGTAATCAACCAAAGAAAATATGTACTTGATTTACTCAAAGAAACTGGTTTTCTTGGTTGTAAGCCGATTGATACACCAATGGAGGCAAGCTTGAAATTTAGCAAGGAAGATGGGTCCTTAGTAGACAAATAGAAATTTCACAGATTAGTTGGGAAACTAATTTATTTATCCTTGACAAGGCCAGATATAACATTTCCCGTAAATGTGATAAGTCAACACATGACTAATCCTACTGAAGAGCATATGACAGTAGCAAATAGAATTCTCAAGTACTTGAAGAAAACTCCAGGACACGGTTTAATGTTTAAGAAGACACAAGACAAAACTGTTAAGATCTTTACATACTTTAGTTGGGCCGGAGACCTTACTAAAGGAGATCCACTAGTGGCTACTGCACTTTTGTTTGGGGAAACCTTATAACTTAGAGAAGTAAGAAATAATCTTTCGTTTCAAGTAGTGCTGAAGCTGAATTTAGAGCACTAGCATTGGGAATATGCGAAGGAATTTGGCTACTTAAACTACTGAAAAAACTTGTCACTAATCAAGAGGATCACTTTGAAGTTTTGTGTGATAATCAATATGTTATTCAGATTGCCAAGAACCCAGTTCAACATGATCGGACAAAACATGTTGAGATTGATAGGCATTTTATTGCTGATCAAGTTAACAAAAAGATATCCACACTTTCATACATTCCTTCAGAAGAACAAGTTGCAGACATTCTTACTAAGGCTTTGCCAAAGCATGTTTTCAATAAATTTATATTCAAGCTGGGATTATACAATGTATATTCTCCAGCTCCAGCTTGATGGGAAGTGTAGGAATTATAGAGATATGATTTGTTACCATTCCTTTAGTTAAGGGATTCTGTAAATAGATTTCTACACTTCCTTATTTAAGGGATCATATCATAGGATTAGTATATTTCCTTTCTTAGAGTTTTCTACTTTAAAAAGATAATTTGTATATAAATATGTAATATGTCCTATTAAAAAGAATAAGAAAATACAGAGAATTACTCTGATTTTTACAACATTATTTATTAGTATAGGGTCTTTAAATGTTGGGAAGATGTATGAGAAGAAGCATGGAACAGAAAGATGTTATGATTTAAACACCAAAGACATGGTAGAAGATGATGGCATGTTTGGAGGATGATCTTTACCATTTTATGATTAGGATCTTACATATTCCAATTTGCTTTGCAACTAAGTATATAGCATTTTTCTGGAGTTATGATAAATTTTAAATTGCCCAAGTTACTATGGTCTAGATTCGGGTATATTTTGATTATCAGTCCGTCTTGTGTATTGTAATGATTGATTCTGATCGTAGTTATACAAATATATTAATTTTATTTGTACATTTTGTTAGATTGATTTTGATTGTAGTTGTATGGATGTATTGTTTGTAATTGTAATTGTGGTTGTAGTTATAAAGGTTTCTTTTCTTATATAAAAGAATAAATATTATCTGCAATAGTTACTCCTGGAGATAGCAACTGATATTTGCAAATATGCAACTTATTTTGTAGAGTCAGATGTATTTAAATATGAGTTGAATATAATAGCTAATTCAAAATAAATGCATTAACCATTATATATCTATTAATTTCTCTATCTATTATCCGAATTCCTGATTCTCAGCACATTGGTTTTATTCATTTACAATGTACGAGCAACGACCAAGGCTATTCCAGCTGGCATGTACCTAATTTTGTCTTCCTGTCTGATAGGTCAATTGGTGATTTGGGTCAACCCAGGCACATCATTGTTGGGCTTCTCTTCCTTTAGCTTAACAGACTGCTTCTCACTTTGGGCTGCTTCTTTCGATTCTGGTCCACACTCCTTTTCCCCCGATTCTGCTCCAGTGTCAGCCCTACTCAATTTAATGTCTGCTTCAATTCCCAAATTAACATGCCCCCTAATTCCTCTTCTTCATTCGAATTTGCCCCCAAGTTTAGCTCTTCTATCCTATGTTTTAAAAGGCGCGAGGCGCTCCAAGGTGATTAGCTACCCGAGAGCTTCAATTTTTTAGGCGTTTTGAGGCTAGGGATTCACGTACGCGAGGCGCTTCTTTTGAGTTCCACATAACCTTCCCCATCTCTTGGATTCCAAAAATAATTATATTGACAACATGATCCCCGTCACCCTTACTCGGCCCTATAGACTACCACTGGATCAAAACATCATCTGTTTCAGTTTGCAACTCACCATTCTGCCCCCCAAGAGACTTCTCATTCCCAACCCACTTAACAGGCCCAGTATGGTTGGATTTCCTAATTGAAGTAGGTGCAACACCATAGTCAACCGAACGTGTAGAATCATCCGAGAAGTTTGTATTTCTCGATTCCAGGCACACGTGCTTCCCACTTATTTTTGTCTTATTATCACTGCCAACTGGCAGCCCACTAACTTCTAACATACTTGTTTTAACATTGCGCCCATCTTCTTGATCAACCTTATCTTGGCCCAAGGTGACAACCCCCATGCTTAAACTCCTTTCTCTCCCATCAATACAAACCCCCGACACAATCTGCTACCCTGGAACTCCACCTAATACTGTCTCCTCAGAACATAAATGGGTCATTGTACGTGAATCGCTAAAAGCATCGCCTCGTTGCTTCGTCGCCTCTCGCCGCCTCATGTACTCGTCGCTTCCTTGGTGGTCGCAGGCTTTCTTCTAAACGCCTCACCTCGCCTAGCGCCTCAGGCGCTCTTTTTAAAACACTGCTTCTATCCCCAATTGCTCTCCTTCCATTATCTTTGCTTCAGCCCTAGCCATAACAATATATCTTGTAATTTTTTTTTCTTAATGAATTTAAATGTTCAATTAACAATTTAATTAATTTAAAATTTAAATATAAATTACCGATTTAATAAAAATGCTAAATAGATTTTGAAACGATTTAATAAAAATGCTAAATAGATTTTGAAACAAATTTATATGTTAATATTGTGAATATTATAAAAGGTAAATTACATAAATGATCTTTGATTTTGAGTAAATTGTTTTTATTCCTTAATAATGTTTTAAAAATAACGATTTAATCATTGTTGTCGATTTATAACAAATTGATAACTCAATAATTAACTGTCGTCATCTTAATAACAAAAGGTTAATGTGGTTTAATGTTGCCAGTCAAACGCACTCGGTTCGCACCATTTGACCACACAGTTTACCTCCAGTACAACTCAATCTCTTGGCAAAACTGCTTCCTTTCATTTTCAATCTCACCAACCTTCCCGTGGCATTAATTATCACGTAACAGACTTTATTGCCCGTTTCTCGATTTTTTTTTTGCAAATCATCGGAGAGCAAGGAAGTGTTGGTGAATAAGATTATTGATTTATTATAAATCGATAACGTCATGACTAAAGCATCATTTCTGAAACATCAATGGAGAAAAAAAATATTATTTAAACATTACTGTTTATATAGTTTACTAATTATAAATATTCAAATGCCTATGGGAGTGAACCAGCTCTGTTCCGGGTTGCCGGTTTGTTGTGCTTGGTCGACTCAGCACAGACGAGTCGAAATTTTGGAAACATCTTTACGAAGACAAATTTCAAAAAAAAAAAAAAAACAAAGCATTAATCGTGAGACATGATAAATTGATAAAGCATAAATCAATATTCTTAATTAAAACATATTACATTCCCATTTTCTTATGCATATTTACATATACATATTCACAGACATTACATTCATATATAGTAGAAGATAACTGAACTGATTACTTTGCTGCTGTATGTCGCCACCACCAAGTTTATCAGCTTCCAGCAGTAATTCCTATTTACATTTGAAGTTGCCGATACAACGGCTGAGACAAAACTAAGAACTCGTTAATGTTTCCGTTGCCAGGAGTAGGAGACCAATATTATGAACCAATTCAACCTAATTCTGAGTTATTAACATCACCTGGTATTTATATTTTCCTCGAGTTCCTTTGAGCACGAAACTTGCCAAGTTTGTCTCTCAAGTCGGCTGTCAGGGAGTACTAGAATCTTAAATACGTTAAAATAAACAAAGACAGAAAAAGGAAATGCAGGCAAATGATGGGGGATGGGGACAACAATTCTAATTAACAACACATTACTTCAGAGATATCAGATGATCTTGTGATCTCATGACCTTGATGTAGTTAAACATCAATAGGCAAATAAAGTTGATTTTGAATCACAATTAAATAGATGAGAGCGATGTTTTTGACAGTCAATGAAGGAGAAAGTGAGGGACGTACCGGCATCCTTGTAGCGCTCCTGAATGACAGCCTTGTTTAAGTTGCAGACAATGTTGAACTCCTCCGTGTCGAGACAATGCTGACCACTTGGCCTGAAACCATAATAAATTAAAGTTATGTTCTAGGTCTAGAAATTCATAAACAAGAATCTCCTGCAACTGCAAGTGTTAACATGTTCGTTTCTCTCAATAAAGGAGCAAAACCAATCTCCTAAGGGGTTTCGAGGCTAACCGGTCCAGCTCCGTGAATAATAAGCCATCTGAACCCGGGGACTGAGTTGACAGCTTCATTGATTCAATTATGCGCATACCATCACTGTATGCCAAGTACTTGTTCACTTGTATAGGTACCTGAACAACACATCAAGTAGGATTCCAATAAACTCAGATTTTCGGTAGGAATTTAATCAGCCACAGATATGAACAAAAAATACATAATTATGATTATACGTTTAAACCATATCTCACAAAAAATCTAAAAGGGAGAAACAACATGAGTGTAATGCTTCTGTATATAGGATAAACCATATCTTAGGTATTCTTTCTCCTCAACGATGAGTCCTTGATAATGCCAATTAGCATATGAACCACCTTACACATTTTAGCTGGTGGGAAATACTATTAGCAAGAGTTCAAAGAAAAATGTCAAAACAATCACTGGTTAAATATGTTAATATGCTTCAACGGGGAACATGACGGTATCTCATAATAGATGAAGTACTTGACGAAACTAGCAGGATGCAATTCTAAAACAGTTAGTAACCGAATCAAATGCTCGAACGACCATTTGTTAAAAAAATTGAATTATACTAGAGAGTAGAGACTAGCACATATCGGGTACCTTGCATCTCACAGCAATGTTGATGGCATCAGAAGGCCGAAGGTCGAAAGTGACGGACTCTGTCTCATCACCCACCTGTAAGAACATCCAACACGATTCAGTGAATACTACTCGACATGAATAACCCAGTGTTGAATGTCAGACAAATGTGCTAAGAGAGAAACCTTGGTAAGATACAGCTGAGCAAAATAGGCCTCATGCACCCTTTTAGTAACTCTGACAAGTTTTACCTGCAAACACAAGTGAAAAATATCACAAATTCGCAATCAGATCTGAAAGGAGCAAAGACAAGTTCGAAAATGGAGGTGGAAATGAAGCATGCCGTGTAGCCCATCTTGTCAATCATGTTCTTCACCACTTCATACATAGATGGTCTAGCCTGGAAACAATAGTCAAAACATATATTAGCATTAACATTCAGAAAAATAAGAATTCTGAATAAATCAGAGACAGAATGAAAACATACGATTCGAACATTACGCACTGCTGCCATAAGCAGTGCACTTGGCATCTCCACTGCAATTAGAACAATAATCACAATCAAACGTTAACATAAAAGCTAATAAACAAAGTCAAATGCTAGGAAGATAACGAAAGATGATCACATACAAACAATGATTGGGAGAAGAAGACCAGTCCTGTCTTCCATCTTCAGAACGATGGCAGGATGCGGTGCATAATCCGGCAGCTGGCCTCCTTGAGGATTGTTATGGACACACCTCAAATTCCTACCATCCCTCATTTTGACCATAAATCCATCAGCTCCACTCATCACCTCAACTATATGAAACAATCACAACAAACATATCATATCAACAATTCTCTACAATCTACATAAAAAAACCAAGTCTATATCGAATTCAAAGACCCCAGTAACAACAACAACAAAAATGAAGTAATCATTGGTTTAGAATCCACACACCAGCTTCAACCACACTGGAATTAACATAATCTTCATCGTTTTCATTGAAATTCTCGGCCATGCTTCCATTCCCATCTGAGGATGACCTGAAAATACACTGCACCCTGGTGTTGCACTTCCGCAGCTTCAGGTGACCGGAAACGTCACGTGGCTTACACTTTCCATCAATTATCCCTCTGAATCCCCATATATCACTTCGATGCAATCTCGCCCTGGGAAAAGGCCCGTTAAACGGCAGCGTATAAACACCAACTTGCTTGCTTCGAACGGCAGGGCAAATCACCGGTCCTTGCAAAGACACCATCTTTACCTCTTTTATCACCTACCCCATAATTTAAAACAAATCAATATCAGATATTTATATATCGTAATTTCATTACAATATTTTGAAGGGAATTCACCAGGCTACCCAATTTATAAACTAAAACCATCCAGAAAAGAGATCAGAAGATGTATACATATTTAAAGACCTTGGATGATCCAATTATAAGAATTACAGCATCAATTCATTTTTTAAAACAAAAAACAAAAAACGGCTCATAAAAATAAAAACATGAACAGTTACTGTAGAAATGAATAATCAGACGATGAATTCTGAGCAGCGATCAGATCAAAGTTTCAAGAGAATTACGGATCTTTGGGAATTAAAATAAAGCTTGTATTGTGAAGAAGTCTTTTCGAAGATCGAAATTCAAAATGATTTAAGGGGAAAAAGGATGGAAAATAAAAGAGAAAAAGGAGCTTCTTAAAATGGAGAGTAAGCAAATAAACCGACAACGTAAGGATCGGCAAAGGAATGAGAGATCGGCTGAAGATAAGAGATTCTTTTTCGTTTTATAAATTGGCCCTTAATTTATATTAATTTTTCTACTTTAATGTCTAAATCTTTTCCAAATTCATTTTAATACTTAAATTATTATCGGTCTTTACCCAAAAAGTTCAGGCGTTCCTTACCAGAAAAAGTTTACACGTCAAAGAAAACGAGAAATGTGCAACGTGACAAAAGACGCTTTCATAACATAGGTGGAACTAACATTGTTAATTTTTAGGATAAAATGAGAGTTTAGCATAAAGAAAAAAATTGAAAAATATGTATACTTATAAAACCTTACTATTTATACGACAATAGTCTTGAAAACATTCCAATTTTATCAAATGTTCCCTCCGGACAAAAATAATTAGGTTTATTCATTAAATGCCTCCAAACTATTATATACATTTTAAATTAGTCTCAAACTTTAAATTAATTGAATTCGCAAATATCAATATTATATCAATCAATACATTATGTCAATTTAGATCTCTTTATTGAAAAATAATGTTATATTTTGACTAAATTATAATTGATAATTAAGTTAGATTTTATTATAATTCTAGTGGTTGTAGATATGTTTATTTAATAAAGTAAATATTTATTTTATGCAAGATGCATGAATTCTTATGAAATAAGAATTCTTGGTCATCAAGTATTTAACTCTATAAATATAAATAATATATTAGCCTTTAGAATATGTGAGAGAGAATTGTTTTGGGAGAAATATAATCCTTTTTGGGATTTCTGTAATTTTTGGGATTTATACTGTAGAGATAATTTTGTAGGCATATTGAGAGTTTTTGTGATATACTAAGTTTTGGTATCTGTACCGAGTTTTATGATACATGAGATATCATGTATTTATATTCTTCGTGTTCTCTACGTTTATAGTAGATTATTATTCATCTCGCCTGTTTGAGGTAGGCAAGCCAACCACATTAAATCTTGTCTCATGTGCATGTATTATTTTATGTTGATATCACTTTGGTTATTTTTTTCGCTTCTAAATTCTTAACAAGTTGTATCAAAACTATGGTTTTGGTCTGTAGAGTTTTGAAAGAATTTGTTATTGCGGATTTTTGTTAGCGGTTTTGAAGACATGTAAGAAGATAAAATTTGTTTGCTTCAACGAAATTTACATAAGAATTAAAGTTGTTGAAGATTTGGTGACAATGCTTCAATAGATACATGATTTACGTAAAAATTGAAGTTGTTGAAAACTTGAAGAATATATTTTTTTATATAAAATTTGGGTAAGCAAGAGATTTGTTATATTTTGACCTAAATTATAATTGATAATTAAGTTGAATTTTATTGTAATTATAGTAGTTGATAATTAAGTTTATTTAATAAAATAAATATTTATTTTTGGGAAAAATCCATAAGAATTATTTGTGACCAAGTATTTAGTTTTATAAATAGAGAAAATATCTTAGCCTTTAGAATATGTGTGAGAGAATTAGTTTGGAGAGATGTAATTTTTTTGATTAATGCAACTTTTGGAGTTTATGTTGCAAATATAGTTTTGTAAGAATATTGAAAGTTTTTGTGATACATCGGGTTTCGGTATCTATACAGAGTTTTAGGATATCATGTATTTGTGCTATTTGTGTTTTCTATGTTTATAGTGAATTATTATTCATCTCGCTCATTAAGGTAAGTAATGCCTAACCACGTTAAATTTTGTTTTATGTGTATGTCTTATTTTATATTAATATCGTTTTGATTATTTTTCCGTTTTCAAATTCCTAACAAAAATTTAAGGCTGTTATTTTATGGAATTACGTTAAATTGGAAGTAGAGTTCAATAACAAAACTAATAACTCCATTGATGAAAATACATAATTAATATACTTTTCATATTTTAAGAATTTAACTCAAACATTTTAAAGTTTATGAATGGATGATAATATTAACCCTAAATATTTATTATAATAGCCAATGATAATTTAAAAAGAATAATCATTTGAATGATTAAATACTATGTATTGTGCCTTCCCCTAATCATATGATTCGGGGAAATGAAAAATGAATGAGAAGAAAAGGAAAATGTTATTTTATTCATTTATTTGATCACACATTAAGAATATATTTTTTGAAATTATACAAATTCAAGTGTTGACTTTATATGGCACATTGGGGAGTTTCAGCGGTGCGGCGCCTAAAAAACGGCGTGACCGGTTAAACAAGTGACTGGTTAAATAAGTGATCGGTTAAAATTTAGACTGATTATGTTATATCATTTAACCGGAAATATTATCAAGTACAATAACATATTAGGTAGCGCTTATATAATGTAATAGGTAGCGCTTATATAATGTAATAGGTATCGCTTATATAATAAAATATACATTAACCGGAAATATTATTAAGTACAATAACATATTAGGTAGCGCTTATATAATGTAATAGGTAGCACTTATATTGACATATTTTCTAAGTAAACCGGTATATTTATACCGGTAACATTGCAAATTTACCTATTACATTATAATTATCGGTTTCGATGTTTTTTGGATCGATACAATTTTAAATGTATCGACACTTTATGCATGCACCTCATTGGGCATTCATTCTGGGAAAAAGTATCGACACAAACTTAAAAAGTGTCGATACATTATTTAGACATATTTTCTCATAAAACCGGTATATTTCTATCGGGTACATTGTAAATTTACCTATCACATTGTAATTATCGGTTTCGATGTTTGTGGGATCGATACTTTTAATAAATGTATCGACACTTTATGCGTGCACCCCGTTTGACATTCATTATAGACAAAAAGTATCGACACAAATTTAAATGGTGTCGATACTTTATGCTGACCTATTTTCTTATAAAACCGATATATTTATACCAGTTACATTGTAAATTTACCTATTACATTATAATTATCGGTTTCGATGTTATTGGGATCGATACTTTTAATAAATGTATCGACAGTTTATATTATGGACAATAAGTATCGGTACAAATTAAAAAAGTGTCGATACATTATGTTGACATGTTTTCTAATTAACCAGTATATTTATATCGGTTACATTGTTAATTTACCTATTACATTATAATTATTGGTTTCGATGTTTTTGGGGTCGATACTTTTAGAAAATGTATCGACACCTATTTAGCTAGTTATTGTACATACCTAAATATGTCTTGCAAATTTAATGTTGTACTCACCCTTCAACTACCACTACCAAGATCACATCCTATTGAAAGCACGACTGAAATATGTTCAATGAACCTTTACTTACATCTCCATCAACTCCGAGACCACTGAACTTGCACAATAAAATTTTTGCCATGGATCATACTGATGCAGACAATGTTAAGCCAACCGAGGAATTTCATGAAGTACATAATGTTGATGAATCTGACAGATTGGTTGGTCAGCTCTTTTCTTCACGTGATCAAGCTTGGTACTTTTACAAGGGATTCACACGGGAACATGGGTTTAGTGCACGTAAGAGAACAACACAACTTGACGTGGAAGGGAATGTGAAGACACAAGAATTTTGTTGATCCAAAGAAGGGTTTCGAGTATCAAAAGTCAATATTGTTGATCGTCAACGTGCTCATTCGCCAGTCACAAGAACAGGATGCAAGGCTAGAGTCGTAGTTACAACAACAGATACAAACGATCACTTGGTTATAAGTAAGTCTTATCAGAAACATAATCATGCATTGTGCACACCTTCTATGACACCATTTATGTGTTCTAATAGAGATGTAAGTAAGGTTGCTATCAATGAGGCAACAACATTGAAAGAGGTCGGTGTTGGCACGTCACAAGTAATGAACTATTTAACGCAGCAGGCAGGGGGCTATCATAATGTTGGATTTACACATAAAGACCTCTACAATGCACTTCAAAGAGGTAAAACAAAGGAAATCGTCGATGGGGATGTGAATGCGCTTATTGCTTACTTTGATTATAAGAAACATGATGATCCCGGGTTTTCTTATGACATACTCGGTAGACGAATCAGGGGCATTGCATAATCTTATTTGGTCGGATTCTACATCAAGATCAGATTACACATGCTTCGGTGATGTAATTGCGTCCGACACAACATACAAATATAATTTGTATGGTCGACCAATTATGCCTATTGTCGGTGTCAATCATCACCATAACACAATTGTGTTTGCCACCGCCATAAATGCTGAGGAGACATCCCAATCTTTCGAGTGGGTGCTACAGAATTTTTTAGAAGCCATGATGAATAAATCACCTATTTCAGTTGTCACCGATGGGGATAGGGCAATGTAGAGGGCTATCAAATATGTTATCCCTTATGCTAAGCACATATTACGTTCTTGACATCTTTCTCGCAATGCACAAGCTAACATTGGTGACCCAAAATTTATAGCCGCATTCTCAAAATACATGGCTTCTTGGTGGACAACCGAGGAATTTGATATTCAATGGCGTTCGGATATTTCAAAATTCAACGTCGAAAAGCATCCATGGGTGATTGAGAAGGGAAATACTTTGCACTTATGGGCACAAGCATATCTAACCGGTCATTTCTTTGCCAATATTTGCTCAACACAAAGGTGCGAGTCTATGAATGCTTCACTAGCGATTACACTGAAACACAAGAAGACATATTTAGATATTGTTCGTGCAATTGAAGATGAAATTAGTAGAATGTGTATGAATGAGATGAAAGCAGATTACTTAAGTTCCCAGACGAAGCCTTTCCAAATCACAAAACTGGTTAATCTTGAAAGCCGTGCTGCTGAGATTTTTACCCGCAAATCTTTTCGTGCGTTCCAAGATGAACTTCAACGGTAGACATTGTACCGGATTGAGGAAGAGATTCAGTCCTTATCAGATGAATGTCAATATTATATTTTGAGAAAGTATAAAGAAAAAAATAGGACATTTGAAATTAGTTTTGATTCTCATACGTGTGAATCACTTGGATTACACATATT